CATGGGGGCAGTAGCTACTTTATGTCCATTGTAGATGACTTTAGAAGAAAAGTGTGGATTTACACCCTTAGAACTAAGGACCAGGCTCTGTCTAAATTTCAAGAGTGGAAAGCCCTTGTGGAAAACCAACTAGACAGAAAGGTAAAAACACTAAGGACTGACAATGGATTAGAGTACTGTAACAATGAGTTTGATCAGTTTTGTAGTGAGCAAGGAATCTTAAGACATAGAACTGTGAGAAGAACCCCTCAGCAGAATGGGGTAGCTGAGAGGATGAACAGGACACTCCTGGAAAAAGTCAGATGCTTGTTGTTCACTTCAGGGTTACCTAATACCTTCTGGGGAGAGGCCTTGTCCACTGCAGCCTATCTGATAAATAGGAGCCCCTCAACTGCCATAAATTTCAAATGCCCTGAAGAAGTTTGGTCAGGAAGAAAGCCTGGTTTAAGCCATTTGAGAATCTTTGGGTGTACAGCTTATGCACATACAATGGGAGGAAAGTTAGAGCCTAGATCCACTAAGTGTGTGTTCCTAGGATATCAAGATGGTACCAAGGGGTATAGACTCTGGGACAGAAAGTCACCAGGGGTAAAAATCATCATTTCTAGGGATATGGTCTTCAATGAAGGAGAGTTCCCTTGTAAAACCAATGAACAGAACACTGGTACAAGCACCCCAACTGAACCTACCAAAGATACAACTGAGAGTACAACCATTGAGGTGGAGCCTGTGGGTCAGCAAGCTGAAACACCTCAACCCAATGAGGAACATGCACTTGAAAACCAATCAGGATCAGAGGATCCTGGATCTGATAGTGAAGAAAATGAAGCAGATGCCTCAGAGCCCCAACATGCACACTTAGAACACTATCAACTTGCCAGAGACAGAATAAGGAGGGAGGTAAGACCCCCTGCCAGGTTTTCTTATGCTGAACTAATATACACTGCTTTGCTTGCAGGAACAGGGATTCAAAGAACAGAACCAGACTCATATGAAGAAGCCATGAACTCTAAGGAAAGGGAAAAATGGAGGCAAGCAATGGAAGAGGAAATGAGGTCACTTGAGGTAAACAGAACCTGGTCCTTGGTTCCCAAACCCAAGGATCAAAAACTAATCAAATGCAGATGGCTGTACAAGATTAAAGAGGGAATCTCAGCTACTGACCCCCTTAGGTACAAGGCCAGGTTAGTAGCTAAGGGTTACACCCAACGTGAAGGAATAGACTTCAATGAAGTCTTTTCCCCTGTAGTCAAGTATAAAACCATTAGGTTAATGCTCTCCATTGTTGCCCATTATAACCTAGAGTTAGAACAGATGGATGTTACCACTGCCTTTCTGCATGGCAACTTAGAAGAGGAGATTTACATGTGCCAACCCCTAGGTTTTATTGATCCCAAGAAACCTAACCATGTGTGCATCCTGCACAAATCACTGTATGGACTGAAACAGTCCCCGAGACAGTGGTATAAAAGGTTTGACAACTTCATTGTAAGTATAGGATACACTAGGAGTAGATATGATAACTGTTTTTATTTTAATTTGAATCATAATCTGCCTGTATATCTTTTACTGTATGTGGATGATATGTTACTTGTGAGAAAGTCTAAGTCTAAAATTCATGAGTTCAAGGGTCAGCTTAGATCAGAATTTGATATGAAGGACCTTGGAAATGCCAAAAGAATCCTAGGGATGGACATTGTCAGGAACAGGGACAAACATGAATTAATCATTAGGCAGAAATCATACTTAGAAAAACTAGTGACTAAATTTGGTATGGCGGACTCAAAACCAGTGTCTATGCCTCTTGCAAACCATGTTGTGTTAAACAAAAGCCAATGCCCCACAACTGAGTCTGAAAAAATCAAAATGGAATCTGTTCCCTATGCTAATGTTGTTGGATCTGTGATGTATGGAATGATCAGTACCAGACCAGACCTATCCTACTCTATTTCCTTATTAAGTAGATTCATGGCAAATCCAGGCAGTGAGCATTGGACTGCCTTAAAGGGTGTATTAAGGTACATTAATGGTACCCTGAATGTTGGTCTAAACTTCTGTAAAAGGCATAATACACTTGACTTGGTGGGTTTTGTAGACTCTAATTTTGCAGGTGACAAAGACACAAGGAAATCCACCACCTCTTATTACTTTACCCTTGGAGGGAACTGCATTAGCTGGAAGTCACAACTTCAGCCCATTGTTGCTCTCTCAACAACTAAAGCAGAATATATTGCTATTGCTGATGTGTTCAAGGAAGCTGTATGGCTACAAGGTTTGTTAGCCGAAGTAAAACTGACTGATGGCAAGGCTAATGTACACTCAGACAGTCAGAGTGCAATCCATCTTAGCAAGAATCCAGTTTATCATGAGCGGACCAAGCATGTGGATGTCCGCTTCCACTTTGTCAGAGACTTAGTAACACAAGGGGTAATCGATCTTGTAAAGGTTTCCACTGAAGACAATCCTTCCGATATGGGAACCAAGGTTGTCTCACCTGCAAAGTTCAAACACTGTTTGAACTTGCTGCATGTAAGATAACCTGTGAAGACCAAAACAATGATGGAAATGTTTGGGTTGGCTGCACTGTGAAGGTTTATCATTCAAGGTGGAGATTGTTGTGAGTGAATGCTGAAACAGCGTCGTATTGAATTTAATGGAACTGTGTCGTTTTGAGACAGCTCCTGGAAGATCCTGACCGCTAATTCAAAAGGAAAGCCAACGGCTGAGATCAAGCCTCCAGTCAACACTATAAAAGGATTAGGGTTTCCTGTTATAACAGTAGATTAAATAAAAAGTTGAGAGCAGTTTTCGTTTTTCTTAGAAAACTAGGGTTCTTGCTTTGTGTCTGATTTTCTGTGTAATCTATGGGTTTCTTGAGTGGTTTGGGTTAATCAATCAAGGGAAAGAACTGCTGTGTTCTTGTTATAGGGATTTCCAGGTTAGAGAAGTCCTAGGGCAGATTACGGGTTCAGAAAGTGTTGTTCGATCTGGGTTTCTTGGAGAGTCTTTCTTTTCTAATTGTGACTGTAATCGGGTGTTCTTTAATCATAGTGCAGCGAACTCTCTTTCTAGAGTTCAACGTGGATGTAGCTTGCTCAAATCGGGCAAGTGAACCACGGTAAAGATCCTGTGTGTTGTTTGTGTTTTTCTGGTTTTATTGTTTGTTTCAGTTTGCATTATAGGTTGATTGCATAACATGTTGATTGGTTAGCTCTCTCTCAAAACAAGAAACAAGGACACATATTTTAATTTTATATGTAATATTCATCCAATTTATTTTTTGATTTCGAGGATCGGAACCCAGAAAAGGAAGAATTACGTTTGTATCTTCTTAACGCTGCACTAGAGGGAAATATTGATGCAGTTAAAAGTCAGTTAAATAATCCTCTGTTCAGTGATTCTTCATCAAGCCCATTAAGTGCCGCTTCATCACCAAGCCCATTCAATGTTGCAATAACAGAGAAACGTGAAACTATTTTCCATGTAGCAGCAGATGCAAATCAAACTGACTTTGTAGAGAAGATTATTGATGAGATATCAGCAGATGACCTCAAGTTGTAAAACGTAAAAGGGAACACTGCCTTTTGTTTTGCTGTTATGGCTGGGAATTTATCAATTGCTGAGAAAATGTTGAAAAAGGACCGAGACCTGTCGACAATCCAAGGTGGCCGTAGTTTGACTCCACTAAATCTAGCTTGCTATGTTTGGAGAAAGGGAAATGGCGTTATATTTATACCGGGAGTATTATGGAGGAACACTGACATTAGCCGACAAAAAACAATTATTTTTTTATAGCATCGATACTACTTTGTATGGTAAGTATTCACGTATTTCTTTCTTGCTTGATTTTAATCTTAAATTTATTTATTATTTTGAAGATATTGTATCATTTAGAAAATGTAATTCATAATAGTCCTTCAATATACTTGTAATGTATACTGCCCTTGCTTTCTAAATTGTGGGCTATGTGCTAAAATTATTTGGATGAATTTCTTAGATCTTGCAAGGGAATTGCTAGAAGGTGATGATAATGAAAATGAATTGGCTATGACCGAATACGAGCATGGCGACAATCTTTTGACACCCTTGCATCGGTTGGCTTTAACGCCCTTTCATCTACTGGACCAAAAGAGCAAACGTTACAAAACAACTTGTTAAGATTCTAGGGTTTATGATTAAACCTAAATCGGTCTCAAACAGGTCATCAATCAACGATTAAACACAAGACAAATGGAAATAAAAGTAGAACAAGCATAAAACAGGACACAGTAGTTTATAGTGGTTCGCCTTTACAGCCTACATCCACTCTCCAAGGCTCACACTAGGGATTTTATTGTCAATCAAGAATGTACAGTGAGAATGATTTCATCAGAACATAAGGGAAAAATCAAACAAGGAAGGAACACACCAATTCGTAAAGCCCTAACTCTCTCAACCCAAATTCTTGCCATTCCTTCTGGACCAGTATGTGTTAAATACGCATGCTTCACTCCTGGATCATAAGCCATCTGTCTTTGATTCTTCATAATCGAAAGATTGCTGGATCATTTCTAGAAAATTCTTCAAGGTGAGGAGCTGTCGCACCAAACAGGCTGTCGAACCAAACAGAAATGAGAGAGGGAAGGAAGCTACGCGAAAGTGTGAAGACCTAATTAGATAAGTCATTAAGTTTGCCAAAAACGATGTCGCATAGGAGAGTTCGACTGTAACACTTAAGCTGACTCCACCGTGGCAAATAAGGAGCCACGTCACCACAATTCTCCACCTTGGCTTCTTGATTTGTCACCCCTCCATGTGGCCTTGGAAATTTTGCCAGTTCACTCTTGAACTTGAAGCAGACTCATACAGAGCCTGTGCTTCTCAAATGGGATAGATTTGGTGAACATGTCGGCAGGATTATGAGATCCATCAATTTTCTTAGTCTCAATTTCTCCTTTTTCAATCATTTCCCTAATGAAATGAAGACGGACATCAATGTGTTTGGTTCTTTCATGGTAAACTTAGTTTTTACAGAGGTGAATCACACTCTGACTGTCACTGTTAATCTTCACTGTCTGTTGCTCAATACCCAGCTCATTGATCAGACCTTTCAACCAGGTGGCTTCCTTTGCTGCCTCAGTCAATGCAACATATTCTGACTCAGTTGAAGACAGGGTAACCATATGCTGCAATTTTGATTTCCAACTGACAGTGTTTCCCCACAAAGTAAAAACAAACCCAGATGTAGACTTCATTTTGTCTAAATCTCCTGCATAATCTGCATCACAAAACCCCTCAACGCACTGATCACAACTGTGGTTTTTCTTAAAAACAATTCCTGCTGATTTGGTTCCTTGTAGGTATCTCATAATCCATTTAAGAGCCATCCAGTGAGTCCTTCCTGGATTACTCATAAATCTGCTAACCATACAGCAAAACCTAAATCTGGTCTTGAGTATACCATCAAGTACATTAGGCTTCCCAGTGCACTAGCATAAGGTATCCCTGGCATTTCAAGTTTCTCAGTTTCAGTCTATGGACTCTGCTCATGTGAAAGTTTCAGGTGAGCACCAAGAGGGGTCTGAACAGATTTAGCATCCAGCATGTTGAATTTCTTCAAAATTTTCTCAATGTAGTCCTGCTGGACTAACTTTAGACTTTCAGAAGCTCTGTTTCTGACAATGGAAACACCAAGAATCTTTTGAGCCTGGCCCAGCTCTTTCATTTCAAACTTGGTGTTCAGTAACCTCTTTAGTCGACACAGCTCAGATTTATCATGGCATGCCACAAGCATATCATCCACATACAATAGTAAAAAAATATGTGTCAGTTCTGAGATTCTTTTATAGTAAAAACAGCTATCAAAATTACGTATATTAAACCCTATTTCTAGCATAAAAGGATCAAATTTCTTATAGCACTGTCATGGTGACTGTTTCAAACCATATAATGATTTTTTTAATAGACACACTTTACCTGTAGCACTGTTGTATCCTTCAGGTTGCTCCATTAGAATGCTTTCTTCCAAATCCCCATGCAAGAAAGTTGTCTTCACATCAAGTTGTTCAAATTCCAGATTGAATTGAACTACTAGAGAAATCAGGACCCTAATGGATGTATGCTTGACCACAGGAGAAAAAATTTCATTATAGTCAACTCCCTCTACTTGTGTGAACCCTTTTGCGACTAACCTAGCCTTGTACCTAAGTGCAACCTGAGTTTTTAAACCTGGTTTTCTTTTGAAAATCCATTTACATTTTACCACCCTACAGTCTTCTGGTTTATCAACCAGAACCCATGTATTATTCTTTATAAGAGAATCAAATTCTTCCTCAATGGCTCTCTTCCATTCCAATTTTTCAAATCTAGAAACTACTTCTTGAAATGTCTTAGGTTCATCATTCATCTCTTCCTCCACCTGAAGTGCATAAGCCACCAGGTCTGCATATCCTAGTCTACTTGGAGGTCTGATTGTTCTCCTAATTCTATCTCTTGATAATTGATAATCAGTTAAGTTTGAAGTATCTACACATAGAGTATTCTACCCTACTTCATGATCACCAGTTGTTTTTTCCTCATGAGTATCTAACTCCTCAACTCGACCTTGATTCAAACTTGGGCTAAAACTAGAGTCTGTCACTTCTAGTTCTAGGTGTCCAGCTTCAGAATAGGAGTTCTCAAATTCATCAGGTTTGTTTCCTAAACCAGGTAGGGTATTTTCTCTGAATATGACATCTCTACTCACAATACATTTCTTAGTTTCTAAATTCCATAACTTGTAGCCTTTAACCCCATCTGGATATCCTAAGAAAATGCATTTAATGGCTTTAGGTTTTAACTTTTCATCCTTAGAGTGAACATAGGCTAGACATCCAGAAACTCTAAGGTTTTCAAGGTTTATAGGATGACCAGTCCACCTTTCAAGTGGAACCCTAAAACCTATAGCAGATGAGGGTGTTCTGTTTATCAAGTACACTGCCGTATGGGCTGCTTCTGCCCAGAACTTGACTGGAAGTTTGGAACATGACAGGATGCTTCTTACCTTTTCCAGAATAGTCCTATTTATCCTTTCACAGAGCCCATTCTGTTATGGAGTATGTCTCACTGTCTTATGTCTAACTATCCCATTAATTCTACAGTAGTTATTGAACTCCTCATTAATGAATTCCAAAACATTATCAGTTCTTAATTTTTTTAGTTTCTTTCCACTTTGCTTTTCAAATATGGTTTTCCATTCCTTAAATCTAGAAAAAGCTTCATCCTTAGTTTTAAGAAAATAAATCCAAACATGCCTAGAATAGTCATCTACAAGGCTAAAAAAATACCTACATCCCCCAAGTGAATACTGCCTAGATGGTCCCCATAAATCAGAGTACACATACTCAAGTGGTGAGCTTGAGTAGTGCTGTCCAGTCCCAAATTTTACCCTGCACATTTTCCCAAATATACAGTGTTCACAAAAATTCAGATTCCCTGTTTTATCCCCACTCAGTAAGTTTTGTTTACTGAGCTCACCTAAGCCCTTTTCACTCACATGGGCAAGCCTTCTATGACACAAGGTGGTCCTATCTAATTCCTTAGTTGACCCAAAATTGGCCACTCTACCATCAGTCCTAACTTTCAATACATACAGCCCATTCTTTTTTTTAGCCTTCATGACAACCGGAGAACCCTTTAAGACACTGAGACTCTAGTAGCCTTATAATTCAAACCTATAGAGTCTAAAGTTCCAAAAGAGATAAGATTTCGTTTGAGGTCAGGGATATACCTAACATGACTAAGTGTTTTAGTTAGTCCACTATGGAGATTCAGCTTAACAGATCCTATTCCTTTAATATGATATACATCATTGTTTCCCATCATTACTTTCCCTCCATCTAAAGGTACAGCTAGTGTCTAAAATCCATTCATCCCTAGTACTGCCCTCTGAAATAACTAGGACCTCTAAACTCTCATAACCTTCTGATACTACCCCTGCACTACCTCCATCATCCTCTTTCTCATATTTCTTCCTTTTTTCTCTTAGGACAATCTCTCCTAAGGTGACCCTCCTTATGACAGAAGAAACACTTCCATTTCCCAGATTTGGACTTAGACCTATGTCTATTTTGCCCTCCCTTTTTCCAGTTCTTCTTTTCAGATCTTCCTCTTACTACAAGACCCTCACCATCACTCACATTTTTATCCTTAATTTTATTTTCAGTATCATTAGCTGAGATAGCTTCTACTACTTCTTCTAATTTCAGAGTCTGCCTACCATATTTCAAAGTCTCTACAAAATTCGAATAAAATTTGGGTAATGAATTCAACAAAATCACAGCTTGGTCCTTAACATCAATTTCAATAGAAATACTCTCTAAATCTTGAATAATCTTAAGGAAATCATTCTTATTATTTTTTAGAGATTTTTGTTCATCCATCTTAAACCCAAATAAACTTTATTTTAGAAATAAACAATTAGGCACAGTCTTAGACTGATAAAGTGAGTCTAACCTGCTCCATATCTCTGCAGCAGTCTTTTCCTTTTTGACTGCGTGAAGCACTTTGTCACCCAAGCCAAGGATCAGCGAGCTCTTGGCCTTGTTCAGCATGTCTTGTTTTTTAGTAGTGGTTAATGTTTCAGGTAACTCATCTTCTCCCTTTAGAGCTAACGCCAAGCCCTCTTTAACCAGTACTGACTCCGTATTTATTTTCCATAGTCCAAAGTTGTTCTCACCTGTAAACTTCTCAAGCTCATATTTAGTTGACATGTTTTCTCACAGATCAGAAAAAACATTTAGTAACAGAGAAGAAATCAGTTTAAGGAAACTCAGAGAAACGTATTTAGGCAAGATTAAAACAGAGAAACCCTAACTGGACCTTCAAACGAGCTCTGATACCAATTTGTTAAGATTCTAGGGTTTATGATTAAACCTAAATCAGTCTCAAACAGATCATCAATCAACGATTAAACCTAAATCAGTTTCAAATAGGTCATCAATCAACGATTAAACACAAGACAAATGGAAATAAAAGTAGAACAAGCATAAAACAGGACACAGTAGTTTATAGTGGTTCGACTTTACAGCTTACATCCACTCTCCAAGGCTCACACTAGGGATTTTATTATCAATCAAGAATGTACAGTGAGAATGATTTCATCGGAACATAAAGGAAAAATCAAACAAGGAAGGAACACACCAATTCGTAAAGCCCTAACTCTCTCAACCCAAATTCTTGCCCTTCCTTCTGGACTAGTATGTGTTAAATACGCATGCTTCACTCCTGGATCATAAGCCATCTGTCTTTAATTCTCCATAACCGAAAGATTGCTGGATCAGTTCTAGAACATTCTTCAAGGTAAGGAGTTGTCGCACCAAACAGGCTGTCGAACCAAACAGAAATGAGAGAAGGAAGGAAGATGCACGAAAGTGTGAAGACCTAATTAGATAAGTCATTAAGTTTGTCAAAAACAACGTCGCATAGGAGAGTTTGACTATAACACTTAAGCTGACTCCACCGTGGCAAATAAGGAGCCATATCACCACACAACTTTATTAAATCAAGCTCTAGTGTTAGTCGAATGCCTTTGGGAGAAGATATTCAAGGCAAAGCGTGACCAAGTTTGGGATTACTTAAATGAGCATCGTGATTTATTGTTCAAAGCAGCTCAATTGGGGAACTTCAAATTCTTGGGTAAACTTAACGAACTTTATCCTGATTTGGTTCATCTTAAAGATGATTACGAACAGACCATATTTCACATTGTGATTATATATCATCATGATGATTTGTTTAAGTTAATAGATCAGATAGGTTTCAACAAACAGTTGGCAGCATCCTATGCAGACATCAATGAAAATAGTTTATTACATCTAGCTACAAAATATCTAGATCCAAAACCACTAAGCAAGGAAAATAGTTTATTACATCTAGCTACAAAATATCCAGATCCAAGACCATTGAGCACGGTGCCTGTGCAGCTTTAGAAATGTAGTGAGAGTTACGCATTTTTAAGGTAAATATTTTTAGAGCTTCTTTAGTGTCTTATTATTTAATTATCATTATTTATACCTTGGAGAAAATACAAATTATTGATGACTCTTGATTAAAGTTTTAATTAAAATATTATCTTGTGATTATAATGTGACTTTTTTAATAAAATCAAATGCTAAAGATAGAGTTGAATTCCGATGGTAATGAATTTATAATTAAAAAATGAAGCTACCAACTTCTTTGTGTAAAATTAATGATTCATATTAATGATGTAGGATGTTGAAAAGCTTGTAATGCCTTCATTTAGAGAATTGAAGAATTCAGAAGGCAAAACACCTCGAGAACTCTTCACTAGCACACATGCAGGCTTACTAAAAGACAGAGAAAAGTGGATGAGAAGCATAGCTAGTCAATGCATGCTTGTTGCAACAATCATTGC